TGTATTCCTTCTTTCCTTTGCAAATCTGAAAATTTGCCTGGTCTTTCTCTTTTGCTTGTTCATCTTCATGATTTCACTCTTTATTTCTTTTTTTTTTTTTTTTTTTTTTGAGACAGAGTCTTGCTGTGTTGTCTGGGCTAGAGTGCCGTGGCGTCAGCTTAACTCACAGCAACCTCAAACTCCCGGGCTCAAGTGATCCTCCTGCTCCAGCCTCCTGAGTAGCTGGGACCACAGGCACTCACCACCACATCCAGCTAATTTTTTTTCTATTTTTCGTTGCCCAGCTAATTTTTTCTATTTTTAGTAGAGACAGGTTCTCACTCTTGCTGAGGCTGATCTTGAACTCCTGAGCTCAAGCAACCCTCCCACCTCGGCCTCCCAGAGTGCTAGGATTACAGGCGTGAGCCACTGCGCCCAGCCCCTCTAAGAAAAATGTTGGCTTCATTTTTTTCATTAAAACAATCATCTTGACGCCCCTCCCAGAGACCACTATCTGACTTCTGAATTCTATTTCATAGATACGTGGTGGCCACCACACGCAGGAACAGCGAGATAAGGCTTGTGGCCGGGAGGAAATCTCCCCTGCGTGTTTCTCCTGCTGCTCTCTGATTGCTCCCAGGGCCTCCCCGGCAGACTCAAGCATCCCCGAGGGGTCCCTGTGTCTGGCACCCTGGAGGTTTTGACACCCGGAGCAGTGCATCCAGGATGGGGGCGAGGTGTCTCTTTCTGCTGAAAATGGCAGACGGGTGACTGTAAGAGGGGAAGTGAGGCAGGAGACCCACGGCCGCCACAGGCTTGTTCTCAGGCAGATCCGTTTTAGGAGAGAAACATGTGGGCTTAGGATCTAGAAAGGGATCTCTCAGAACTCTCTGTGTTCGTGTAGGCCCTGGGAAGTCTTCGCGTACCGCCGGCGGCACCGGTCCGCAGTTTGAGAGCCGGGTTCTAAAGCATGAGATAGTGGACCGTTAGGAGGAGACGGGGGCCCGCGGAGAAGAGCCACCATGTGTGCTAGTGACAGGCTGGGTGTGTCATGCGTTGTGACCATGTGTGCTCATGTGTGGGCCTGCGGATATGCGATACCTGTGGGCACGTGTCACCATCCAGGCACTGCAGGGGAAATGTTAATGCCTTGTGACCCCAGCCGCCCCCACTGGCTCCCTGCCGCTGGGCCTCAGGCCCTCTGGGGGCCCGGAGCCTTTCTGCGGGGCTGAGTGAGCAGCTCCACGGCCAGGATCCGTCGCTCCTGGACGCCCCAGCCCCATCTCCCTCTGCTCTCCCCACAGCACCTGCACACACTCCAACGGGGCAGCTCAAGCCCGTGCTCTCTCCTCCTCCTACCCAGACTGTCTCTCGTGCCCAGGCCCCACCCATCCTCTGTGCCAGGGGACTCGGTGGTGCAGGAGCTGGGCACAGAACTGAAAGACCACATCCCGGCACGAGCCAGGGGCCCAGTTCCAGGACCAGGGACTCGCTCCTTACCGGTCTGAAGCAAACCAGCACTGCTGTCACTGATCTGGAAAAACTTCTGTACATCCAGCAGCACTCCTGTGGACAGAGGGCCAGCGCTCAGGAAGTGGGAAGTAGCCCACCCCAGCCTCTAAAGACAGCTGCCCCGATTCCAGACAGGGCCACGGCTGCCCAGCACAGCACAGGGGGTCGCACCTGGGCCCCCACTGTTCTCTCTGCTCTCTCCCACCCATGCATACCACCAAACATACACACAGAAACAGGCAACCCAAAGGTGCAGACATATGTGCACACACATTTACACACACGCATGCACTCACAGACACAGACATTGAGTCACATAGACACAGACGTGAGTACATACAAATAGGCCTTCCCAGAAAGATACACTTGCAGATGCACAAACAGGAGCCTACTCTCACAGACGTGTAAACTCAGTCTCTCACACCCAGACACACATATACACATACACTGAGATAGAAACATAAAAACACACCACAGGCACGCATGCACATGCACACCAGCAGGGCTGCCATTCACACTGTAGTCAGAGCAGCTCCCTGTTGCTGTGCCATGCACAGCCCTTCACCTGGACTACTTACTGTGTCAGTGGAAGTCCCTGGGGTTCCTGCTCATGCACAAACACCAGGCATACCTAGATGTATGTGCACATACAAAGACTTAAGCGCACTAGCCTGCACACATGTGCGCACAAGCATGTTCCTCCGGAGCATGCACACAGCAGTGGGCACTCAGCCGAATGCAGAGAGAGGAAGTGTGCTCCCCCAGATGCCAGGGGCTTTTCACTGACAGCCCCTTAGTGGTATCTCAGAAAGGGTCAGGGTCTGCGGCATCTGCCCATCTGAGCCATGTGGCCCTGTCATTGAAGAGCAATCATCACTTTCAAGAATCACGAAATGGGTGAGAGCCAGGCCCTGAGCTGAACCCCAAATGGGGCCCTGCAGAAACACCCGCACCAGGACAGCCCTGCACCCGCACCTCCAAGACCCACCAGCAGGCAAGTAAAGACTAAAGACTCTGAGAAGCGAAGTAAGAGATTTTTGCTCAGACATTTAATTTGAGCCCAATTGCCACAGCATCCAGGCATACAACCCAGTATATCTTTTCTCCCCTTTTAATATTTTTAATTACACACAAAAAAAGACATAGTTATTGGAGAGAGAAATAGACAGCACAGGTAGGCAAAATACCTAGCTAAATAGAAATTCTCTGCGATTGTGCTCATCTTCCATTTTTAGCAATGAGGTCTCATCCCTGATTTTGTCCCCTCCTGGGCTCCCCTCAGCCCCGTGCTGCTCTGGGGGTAGGCCAGGGCAAGTGCGGACCCAGGCTTGCTGGTACCGCACGCTGCCCGCCTGGCCTCCCCACGCGCTGTGCGCCGCCAGAGCATTTTAGCTGCCACGCAAACCGCCCGCACCCACCAGTCCCGGCACTCGGCGTGGTTTCACTTCTCCAGGCTCCTTTGTCCTGGTAACCACAGGCGCTTCCTGAACATCCAGAGGAAGTGACAACAGAGAGAGGACCTGGGCAGGCAGGACTCAGGGTCTCACGGGCCAGCCAGGGGCCCCCATGGCCAGGGACAGGGAGAATCCACACCAGTGACCACTGGCTCCCACTGCCTCTAGCCCTCTGCCCTCCTCCTCATGCCCTCGGCCCGTACTCCGACTCAGGCCTCCTCTGCGTTGGCCTGATCCACTGCAGTAGCCTCTGAACGGACCTCCCTGCCTCCTTTGGCCTCCATCAGGACTTCAAATCTGATTTTATCCCCCTCCCACAGCTCCCCATTGCCCAGGGCAGAAAGTCCAAGCTCCCACCCTGGCACCCAAGAAGCCCGTGATCTCACGCCAGGGCTTTTGGAATAATTCCCTGCTTTCTCTCCCTCTCACCATCCATGATCAGAGCCCGCCCTCTCACCCGCGCACCTGGGCTCAGACTGACCCTCTCTCTGAAGGGCCTCCCCTCGCCCCAATCCTTGCCTTTCAACCTGCGCAGCCTTCGAGGCCCAAACCAAATGCCCCCTCCGCTGTGAATTCTACCGGTCATTTGTACTCTGCTGCCCAGCAGACGTGCATCCCACTCTGTCCTGTATTAGAGCTACTGGTACATGTGCTCTGTGTCCCTCTGAGTGCCTCAGAGATCGTGATCAGGTCTGGGCTGTCTGCGGCCCATTATTCCACAGCCCTTCTCTGGTGTGCCAAGCCGGTAACCGATGACCCGCGCCCTGGCTTCAGGGATGCCCGGCATCTGCAGGCGCCCCCTCCCCAGGCCCGTCTGTGCCCCCCTTGTCTGGCCACGCTGCTGCTTTGTGGGATTGCTGCTAACAAGCTTCTGCCTCTGCCCCACTAGACAGTCATTCCCGAGTTCCTCCCTGGGTCCCCAGGGCCCCCTAGACAGTCCTGCCCACAGTCAGTGCTCAATCTTGAATGAATTGTTGATGAAAAGAAAGTTGAATCTTGAATGAATGAATGAGTGAAGGAATGACAAGAAGAAAAGAGCAAGTCAAGCCCCAGTCTCGAATGACTGGATGAATGAACGAGGGAGGGAGCAAGAGACGAGAAGATAGAAGCAGGTTGAGGCCCGGCGCGGTGGCTCAC